CTATTGTCTCCTGTCTTAGGTGAAGGGATAGACGCTTTAGGAACGGATAAGCCAGAGCTCACGTGCATCTCAGAAGAGGGTATCGCCGACATGGATTTACCCGACAATTTGCTGGAGGATTTCGATTATATAGGCGACTGCATAACTTCGTGCAACAAGGTCGAAAACTATCTTATGCTCTCGGAATTCGAGAACAACCTGATTGCTGAGATGCCGATTATTATGGATCGCCGTGGGCGCAGATGGTCCCTGGGGCGATCCAAGACGAATCAATCCAATTGCGGTCAGACCAGTGGCATGCAATCGGCAATTAATGAGGCAGAAGTCAAACCAAAATGGCGTTTCAATAATGTACCGCCCAACGCTAACACTAGAATGATCACCGTAATTGACGAGGCTAGTGCATAATTTCAAGCACGGATAATGGAACGTCATTAACCCTAAACTTGGCACACTGGGAAAGTAATTGAATAAGTGAAGAATATAAAAATATATACATGTAATGGAGCAACATACAAACTTCGAAACTTTCAGCATTATTTTTAAGATAATTTTTCTTAAACACAATATCAAATTAAAACATAACAATCAAAACATAAAAACGAAAAATGTCACTTATAGTCGCCAGTGATAATTAAAATATTAAAACAGTGAACTTATTGTCAACCCAACTGGCAAATTTTATTAAATTCGACCTTACTAGTGTAGTCGAAACGTTGTAACGAATTTAATAACATTCGCCAGTTGGGTTGCCAATAAGCTCACGTTTTAATCGAAACGTAAAACATTACAATTCTAAACAATACAGAACAAAAGTGTATCTTAGGTATTCGTACACCGCCAAGTATAAGGTTGAAGGAAGTTCAGTCTCTGCTAAATTTTTATAAGTGTCGAATGTTTAGAAAATAGCTAGACGTTCCGCCGTTCAAGAAAGATAAAAATCAAACCACAATTATATAGCAGATTTATTAAATGTCAAATTTTTAAACTGCAGTTTGTTATTAGATACATACACGTACTCCCTATTCAACTTTAACAATAATCAGGAAAAAAGATTATGGAAAGTTAAAGAAAAATCAGCGAGGTACGAAATACTGACTGAGTTATTCCGACCATATATATATTATATATCTATTAATGTATGTATAATTGTAAGTTATTAGAGTTATAGTCAGTTGTTCATCTGTCATCTATCAAAGTCTTCATAGAAGTTGTGTTAGTTATAAATGACAACGACATGCTAATTTGTATGACTTGAAACAGTTCGTTGAGAACGTAATCCGGTAACACGGGTTGTTTCATTCGCGATGCAATTAAGGACAATAACGTCGGCTTTCGACAAGAGGAACCACGGAAACGCTCCGTCCACAAGAAAACAACCTTGATTCGCGTCGGCGTTTTTCTTTAAACTCCCAGTTACTTCATTGTTCGAGGTAAAAAATAATCCGTCGTTATTACTAAGTTAGCTTATCAATGGCATTATGCCTTTGAAGAATAGAAAGTCTACCAGTTACACGAATGAATGGTAAGCTCAGAATCTTGGTACAAATATTTCGATTTATCATGGCCGAGTTGAGCAGAAAAAAAAACTGCTTTGCCACTGGTAAAAATCTTGAATCTGATTGGCGTATGTTCTTAATCTTGACTGAATCTGCGAGTATACTCCAATCAGATTCACAAATTTTACAACTGTTGCGAAGTACCTATTTCTGCTAAATGCAGCCAATGTTATTGACTGATAAAACAGCTGAAAATACAATCGTAGCGGACATGAAATTAGTCTTTTAAATCAGTTTGAATAACTGACCTAAAATTTGAAATTAATTTGACAATTTTTATTTTAACCCAACAATTCTTGTCTAACGTTTGGCACATTTATCCGTATCTATATTTCTCCGAGAAATGACTCTAACTAATTTAATTTATCAATATGTTTATGTTTGTATAGTCTAATAAAAAATGATAAAGAATATATTTTATCAGAAATTTTAGTAGACCATACTTTATTAGAGCTTAATTGTCAATTTTTATAAACGATTGAAATATGTACTTTTGACTACGATTGTAAGAATAAATAAGAACTGACTGTGCAAAAAGAATGTAAGAACACTAGTACGTAGATACCGCTAGTTTAAGATTTGGAAACTAGTCCAACCGCGTTTAAGACAAATGCGTCGTTAAAATAAATGCAAGGTGCATATATATATCCTATATATTGTTCATGACGTTCTTTCTCTTTTGGAATTCGGTCCCCACAACAAGATGCGACGATCGACTCCAAATATATACGTATAAATAATGCGCATCTATTTATTTATCAAACTATTTATATTAATATGTAAATATTCGATATTGATGCCATGTATATATACGTAAGTTTAAATGTATACAATCATTGGCGGCATAGATTTTAATGATGTTTATGAAAATCATGTCTTTCATCGATTAATAAGTAAAAAAAATTATATCTTATGTTGAAATAATAATAAAACTATAACTTTACTGAATATATGGGAAAGATCGCTTATACTAATTAAACAATAAGGATAAGACGGAGTATAAATTTCGTAAATATTTAATTATTAATTATTTGAAAAAGTATACTCATTTAAATAATAAAAATAATGGATATTTTGAGATATGCTTATTTATGAAATATGCATTTTCTCAGAATTATTTATTCAATTAACATAAAAACTAATAACATAAAAAATTACTGCCATTTAAAAGCGTAAAATTTGCTGAACAAGAAATTTTACATCTAATTTAGACTAATTATAAATATCTTTTCCTCACTCTCAAACCACTGCCAATGATCGTAGGAAAGTTATTTAAAAAGTATTGAAGAAACAGTGCAATGAGAAGTTATTTTAGAGATATAGTAAATTGATAGTAAAAGTAATAATATATATGATTATTCATTCTATGGTTTCGATATGTAAACTGCTAAGTTAAGAATATTGCTAGATTTTTTCAGAATTTGGTTTACAATAAAAGCCACACCTGTATAAAATACAGAGTACTCGTGCAACAAAAATAATTATTACTGTCCATAGTGAAAAGCGAATCGCTAAATGTATTCCAGCGACATAAATAGCATCCAAAAATTTCGGAACATATTGTATTGTCGTAATGTTGTTGATATAAAAATGTGATTCAAATATGTAACTTGTGTCATTTTTTTCACATCTTAATTACAGATTTTCTACGTCCCTTTACGAAAAGGCACTTAATTTTAAGTGGGTGTTTTATCAGCATGTAACAGCCGTAACACGATAATGGACGCAATCTGAAATTGGGTCGAATTAGAAACAGCACGAACGAACGTCCTATTACCGTTCCAATGAACGCGATATCGATAGCGTTGCGTTAATTACGAATTCCTAGTCCACTTACTCGTTTCAAACGAGGCGTGTATTACGTCGCGCGCGGTTCGTTACGTTTAATTTAGTAATTAAACTACAGTAAGAGAATTATATCTCTGAATCGTCGTTCGACTCAATTCTTCTTCTACAAAGTTTCTGAAATATTCTTTTAAAAATAAAAATAGTTCACGTTTAAACGAAGAAAGTTAAAGTGATGAAATAAAATTATAATACAAAAGCATTACGTATCTTATATTAATTACAAAGTTTAAAAAATTCAAAAAGTATGATCTTATACATTTTAAATAATAAATAATAAATTTAAAAAATTAGTTCTCAACTATTTCAAGAGATCTTTGATTAATAATTTTGTAATTAAATTCATTTCATCGGAATTATCTCGGTTTAATTTTAACAGTAATTAATAGTTAAGGCAAGAATGTATTATCGGCCGTTGTTTCCTGTTTGTTAAAACGAATTATCGTGAAAATATATTTAAAAAGAAATTAAGTTTCGTGCGAACGCACATATATCATATATTATCGTGCGTCTCACATTAATTAGCACGCAATAGTATGTGTGGAGATTGGTACGATGCGAACGATAAGAGGTGTAGCACAGGAACGGGCAGTCGCTACAAGACGCCTCATGATCGAATGCCCTCGTGGCATGAATTGCGACGGTATATTTTTATTAGGAATTACATTAGTAGAATTTACGTGTTGTTATTACGTGTTGTGAATTTACGCTTCTGTGTGCGAATCTCTCGAATACTTTTCAAATAGATTCCATTTCTTATTTTGACGAAACTTAACATAACGAAGTTTTGTGCCAAAAACTCAATCAAATAAAAGTAACTGCATTTTGTAGCATTGAGGACAACCAAACGAGGATGGGGTATGGAAAACTACATGTACTACCACTGAGTCTGTTTATCTTAATCCCAGTGACATTCGTCATTACGTAAGTCCGCAATTTTTTAATGATAAAATAAATTGAATTACCAAAGGTATAACATATTTTGCGGTGTAAATAAAAATGTAAAATATTACAATCCTTTACTTTTTTAACAAGTAACTTAATGTTTAATATCCTCCTTATATAATCCAATCAATTATTTCTTTTCATTACGGATTACTAGACGCGAAACTGCCTGTACAGAAATGTTGATCGCACCAAATTAAAATTATATCAGCCACTATCGACAACGAACAATTTCACTGGCAAAGAAGCCAACAAAAACATTTACCTTACATTATTCTCAGAATCTTGCAAACTGCAAGGAGAAAATTTGCTTCATTCATTTAGAGATAAATAAATCGACTTTAATATTGTTTTATTCTACTTTATAAGTGTACATATGTTTAGATACCATTTTTTTAGACGTCATAGAATAAGAATTTGGTGATGAAGTGATTTCTTTATAAGAAAGATACATTCGCCAAATGGTCAAACCACATTGAATATACAAGTTCTTATCCGAACACTTTCCTTTTTTAGAAATTTTACTTATTTTAGGTATAATCTTAACTTATTTTATATTGTTGTTATACATTGTCTAGACAAAAATCTTCATATTCATCAAATGCTGAAACAATTCTTTCACATCAAATGACTTCAAAGATTAAATTGAACTTACACTTTAATACGTTTCTTTAAAATAAATAAATTGTAAATTTATGTACGCAATTAAACTGATTTTAAATAAGAGAAAAAAATTATTTTACACTGTACACTGTTCAAGTAATTCAGTAAATAGTCTGTACATTGCAGAATTATTGAACGATCAAGATCATAAAAGAGCTTTGCAAGCCGAGAAAGGCAAGGAAATATGACGCGAGAGTTTTATATACTCGCTCACGCCACCCGAGTTTATAGTTTACGAACGGTTCATGTTTCAGATACACCATATCGGTGCAATGGGACCATGTAGTGCCTGGATTCCCTTATATATCCGAGACCGGCACATTATCACCAGAATCCTGTATATTCACACAATGCTTGAACATCGCGGCACTATTACGTATGTAAACGCAATTAGAAAAACTTCAGAAACTAAATTAGATTCATCTCATACTTTAGAGAAAGGATCTAAGGCCCGATTACAAACGTTGCATGTGTAACTTTAACCCTTTGCTTAATTCACTTTTCATCTCTTTCTAAAGGAAAGAGACGAAGTGTGAGTTTTAAAATTAAAGTTTCGATGACAACCGAGCCCAAGTCATCTTAAAACGGTTATGCAAGTAAAAATGTTGGAGATATAAGTAAGTAAATAAATAACTACATATCAATACATTTAAAAAAAATTTGAAAAATGTCGTCAGTTAAAATTATTTAAATAAAATTTAAAAGAGTAACTTAAATGGGTTTAGTGATAAAATCAATAAACAAAATAAACAATATGACAAACCGCACAGTAAGCAACAGAGAGAAATATATCAAAGGAGAAGTAAAAGTGACTTCAAAAAAGTTTTTCTTGAATCCAATAAAAAATTAATCAATCCGCATTTTTTACACAGTTGGATGCTGCGTTTACATTAGGCACCGACAAGTATTACAATGGCAGACAGAGAGAGGTCGCGATCGCGTAGACAAAAGAGTTATTGTAGCGACAACATGCTGTGGTATCCTCGCTTGTTTCGGTCTCGACATACTCGCCAATTTTCAAGAAGCTCGCGTAATTGCCGCTCACATGGTGGGAGCGATGACTTGCTTCTCTGCCGGCACTCTCTATTTCTGTCTTCAGGTACACCGTAATGCGAAACGTTATGTATTTTACCGCGGATATTTCGATGTCAAACGCAACGTTAATTAACAATATTGCAATTACTGTCTCGGTACAGAGTCGATTGAAGCAATGTCAGAATAGCTTTCTTTTAGGCTAACACTCAGAGGTCTTTTTTACATTTTTTATAGTCTTTTAATTTGATTATTACATGTTACTATTTTATCGTATTATCTTATTATCACTTTCTTAATTTTTATTTGACTTCTTGGCATGTTTCTTTTATTATTAGTTATGTGATGACTCATTATATTACATTTCCGCTTTGTATAGACTTGATAATATAATAATACTTTGACAGTGCAGATAAGATCTAACTATGAATGACTTTGATATACATAAAATAGGTAATTTTGTATGTATATTGTCATAAAATAATTATTATACTTTTTTAGACATATCTAAGCTACAAGATGGTACCAACTATGAATGGTATAATTATTGTTTATCTGCGGGCAATTCTTTCGGCTCTCACATTGATATTGACGATTGCTACGATCATTCCTGGTTACATCTCCATGTCTGAGTTTCAAGGTATGTGAATGTGTTATTAAAAAATTATACTTTTATAAAATATATAATTTAAGCAGTTATAATCTGCATAAAATATTCTCAAAACAAAGTTTCTCAGTTATTCGCATAGAAAATGAATGCATGTTAAATATTCAAACATCATGCACGAGTGCAAAAGTACATTTTTATAAACACTTTTAACTTTATCGTTAAATAAAATGTGAAATTATATTAATGGAGAATTTCAATAATCGAAATAAAACAAATTTACATTATACGTTACGTAGGTAACGATTACAAGAAATGGCTACCGGCGGATGGTGGTTGGGGCTGGCACGTCGCGAGTACTATATGCGAATGGATTCTCGCGATCATCTATTGCGCGTTTCTTCTTACTTTCGTTCCAGAATTCCGACTGATTAACTTTGAAGAACCGGTTGTTACGGTATCCTCATATGTTCTTACGTTATTCATAAATCGACTATTTCATTTAAAAAATTACGTTTAATTAAAATATTAATTCTATGTTATTAAATTTTCCCCAATTCATAAACTTTAACTGCACCAAATACTCTTTATTACCATTGTGTATTCTTTACTGTGTCAATTATTACAATTTTTCCAATAAATTTTTCTTTACCGTCACTCTAATAAACTACGACGTTTTCTTGATTCAAAACCTTCTAATATTTTTCATGAAGCATGAGCTTGTAAAGAAGTCTAATTAAATTAAACAGCAAAAGAATAAGAAATAGATTGTTATTCTACTAATTTATATCGACACATCTTAATTCTTCGCAAATTATTAAACTGAAAATTATTCAAATTTTTGCATTGGTGAAGAAAAAATCAATATTGCATTCATCAAAGTCTTTACACCTCAAGAAAAACACGATAGTAATAAAGCATCTTACGCACATTCATTCTTTTATTTATAATTACCAAAAAATAATAGTTGTAATAATTATATCAAACTTTATCTACAAAATATGCTATGCATTAATGTCATACATAATTTTGTTTTAGCTGACCTATTTGGATAAAGTCGAGAGCACAATAACTTCAGATAAAACAGAAGCAACCACGCCACAAGATATATAAATTTTTTCTACATTTTGGTCTGCAAAAACCTTTTCACTTTATTTAGAGTTCGATACTATCCTACTAATATAAATTGTATCTTTGATGAATATCACGAGTTTTCCCGAAAAAGAAGTAATAAAATGATAAAAGATTAATAAACAGAATGTAATATAAGAATATTGCAGAAAGTTATCAATTCTGAAAAGTAACGCGTTAAAGCCACGTCTCCGAAAATTGATACACGTATAATAAGTCAACAAAAACTATACATACACAGCATCTATAACTTTTCTTGTTTTAATAGAATTAACAGCAAGAGTTTATGTAACATATGTAATTAATTTTTCATACATATGTTTACATAAATTGCATATTAAAAGCTTTTATTTTAATCAATGTCGCTCTAATAATCTCCCTAACTATAATTTTGCTTATGGTTAATACATACAATGATTATGGTTGATACATTTTTATTCGTTTTGTACTATTAATTTACCTTAATAATTACAAAGTATTCTATGATTATTAATCCCGAGAAAAGTATATACCTTTGGCGCTTCTTTTTTTATATTTCAAACCTTTCTATCAGTTTCTAAAACAGATTACATTTTGTTCAGTTTGACAATAAAACAATACTACCAAAGAATACTTCATTTATCTCCGTTTAACTGTATTTCTTGTATTCCATTACAATAAATTTTCACGACATTATTTGATGAATAAGAAAGTGTTATTAGGCAACTCGATTTAACAAAAACTTACTATTTTCAGCATGCCAATTTCAAAAGCGCTTTAATTCTTTATGTCAATCTTTAAACACTATTTAGTGCCTGTGATACTTTTACCATAAATTTTGAGTACGGATTTGATGCTAAATAAAGTTCAAAAGTAAATTTCAACTTTATTTAACATGAGATTTCTTATTGTTAAAAGTCGCAATATTTATCTTCTGCCCATCTAATTATTTCCATAAATAACTTTATGTATAATTCGCTCTATCCAAACAACTAAATGCAGTAATAAATAAAGGTATTTTATTATTTTACTCTTAAATGTATTAAATATGTAACGTCTTTAACATACGCACGAGATATTTAAGTATTCCTGGCTGTTTGCCATGGTCATTTTGCAATGTATTACGACCAAAACCGACTTTTGGGTAATATGAATTTATTAACGAGCAGAATAGATTTCATGTATTTTACAAGTCTTTTACTTAAAAGGATGTAATAAATACAAATCTCATGCTTGTAATAAATAGAAATAAAAAAGTGTATTAACTGAACGCACAACAGAGATGTGTTTCGTTGAAACATTTAGCTTGTAAGGCCGTGGTAAATACGTGAAGCCTACGTGTTTACATGAGACAGAAAATTGTGCTTTCCAATTACTTTTGAAGAACAAGTAATATCAGTCGCACTGCGTTCTGCAAGCAAAATGGATTCCACGTGGAAGCACACAACCGTTGCACATCGAGAAAAAGATATTGAATTACATCAGAAACGTGTAGCCGTTTCAGAAATTAAGAGCAATCCCGACACAGTCCATGATACAAGTACGTGCTTTAACAACAGGATCACAGAGCAAAGAACGACAAAGCCCGACGAAAAGGCAAAGGTAAAGAGTATTATATTGGACCACATAATGAAGAACCCACAAGTAAGATTATCAGAGATTCAGGCCGCACTCAAACATTACCACAAGATAACAGTTCCTTACTCGATGGTATCCACATGGTTAAACGAAGCTAGGAAGAGGTAAGTTCGGAAATTGCTTAGTTTATTAACAAACAACCCGAAACAGTTCATGATACAAGTACGCGCTTTAGCAACGGGTATACAATTCGGAGAATGATAAAGCTCGACGAAAAGATCAAGGCGAAGAGTGTTATATTGGATCACGTAAAAAAGAATCCAAATTCAAGAGTACTAGATATTCAGGCTGCACTCAAACATCACCACAAGATGACAGTTAGTGACTCGTCGGTATGCAGATGGCTAAACGAAGCTAGGAAGAGGTAAGTTCGGAAATTACTTAGTTTATTAAGAAACATTCCGAAACAGTTCATGATGCAAGTACATACCATATGAGATATTCAGAATAACATTCCACATCTTGAGACATAGCAATAAAATTACATTTTGATTAAAAATCAAATTTATTTAGTGCAGTAACAATATTAAAAAACATAATGTGATGAATAAAATATTTTAAAGTATTTCGCATTATTGTATACGCAAAAAGATAGTTTTTATGATATTAAATTTTTTTAAATAATATAGTTATTAATAAATAAAAGCAAATATGCTGCATAGTTAAAAAATTTGTGTTTTCTTGTTTAAAAAAATACCGATTAAAATTTTTGTGTTAAATGTTCAACACATTCATGTGTTAATTTAACATATTGCTCTTGTGTTAATTGACCTCAAATAAAATCCCCAAGTAAAATTATTAAAATAACTGAAAAGAAATGTTAAAACAACATAATGTGTACTTATTTTTCAATCTAACACAATACATATGTATGTTCTACATTATTGGTCACAAGATTTATCTGTTAAAATTTACAGAATAAAATGTTGATCTTATTCTATATAATATAAGTGAGAGTGATTTCGAACCGTCATTTAACTTATTACATCTGTAAAATGTAAAAATTACAGTTTATTAAATTCATTTTGTCATTAAAAATATGTTAATTTTACACAAAATTTATTTCAAATTATTTTGAGATTTGCATTTACTTTGTATTAAAATATTAACAGAGTATTAGTTTGATCATTTAACATATTCATATTATGTTAAATTAACACAAAAATTTATGTGGACCGTTTCGGACATGTAATACCTGTTAAATTTAATACAAAATTTTCAACTGTGTGTGAAAAAATAAAATATAAAACTGACTTCTTTATGATACAAATAAATAAAAATTAATTGTTATTCTATTTCTTTAATGCATGAAGTTTAGATATCTATCTCATAATAAAATAGAACACACATTAATAACATATCAGTAATATTGTTTTAACTAAAAATACTCCAAAAAGTTTAAAAAATACGTCAAACATTATATAGGAATCCCGTAAAAGCATATGTCAAGTAAGTTTCTCAGAAGAAGTTTCGTAGGCTGCGATTTTCATTACACAATTTAATCAATAGTTCTGTCTCTTCCAATCTAACTTTGGCATTTTCTTTATTCAATAGATACTGTGATACGTTTTCTAATAACAGCACTAAATATGAGATATTATCTATATAAATGCTCTATAACACTGTATCTCTGTAAACTATGCAGCGCCGTGAGCAAAAGAAGAAAGAACTCAAGAGTAACAAAGCTAGAGAGCTTAAGAACTTATAGAATGAAAATTTTCTTATAGGTGCTGTATATCAATTCACAAACACACACGCATTGTGTTTTAGTCAAACTACCGCAAGACACTCTGTACTATCTGAAGCGTAAAGGTATATGTTAAGCTTCACACCAGAGTAACACTTTATTCTATTGCACATGCGCTTACAAAGAGAGATGAAACACCAAAAAATGTGCTTTATATACTAAATATTATGACACACACAATTTATTTTTTATTATCCATTATTCTTAATGGGATATAACGTTACAACGTTAGAGGTATAGAAGTGACTATAGTTCTTTTTCGACGAGTCACGCATTTTCTTCTGTTATTATCTTATCTCCCTTTTTACCTGTGGATTTGTACATGTGGATATAAGCATTTTAAAAAATTTCTAATTTTTAACTTAATTCCATATAATATACAGGTGTTACATAAATATTGAAGAAAGGAAAAATAAGTACCACAATGGTATGGAAGAAAAATTTTTCTATAGACGACTCGCGCTCAGTATTATTTGAGATGTCGTTTGAAATGGAATATCCTGAAGATCAGTATTACAGACTGAATCGTGTTTATTTATCAGCAATTGGTCTTTGGCCATATAATAACTTCAAAATCAGATGTATCCGTTTCATAACACTGTTAATTCTTGTATCAATGCCTGGTGTTCAGGTATTTATATTATTTGTAATCTATTTATAATTTTATGACATACAGTCTTGTTTATTAATGCCTGTACCTCAGTTTTACTAGCATTCTCATTTTCATAATCTTTATTCTCATCTGTACATCGATGAATTTCACACTGTAGTTTACACAGCTTTTATAGAAGTCTGTGGTAGTATATACATGCAGCCTGAAACTTAGTGATTTGTATAAACGAGAAAAATGATGATAAAAATCTAGGCCAGCCATTAAAGAATAAGACTATATGTATATGTCTAATCTTCAATTTTGTGACTTTAGTGCAATAGAGTTTTGCTAATAATTTAAATACTGCAAATTTCTTTTGTATCTTGTACTTCTCTTTTACTCTCGGTATTTTAATGACACCGTGTTCTATTAATTTAAGTGTTCTAATATCATATATTGTTGGGATTTTATTACTTACTATAATCATTTCAGTGGATAAAATTATATGTCTCAGAATGTACTTATGATCTTGTTATGCAGATATTATCTAATAATATTAGTTTAATAATATGTTGTATAAGGTATATCTCATTTTGTGCTGTTATGAAAAATGTACGTTCATGAGCAACTAACTGAAAAATAAACCACCATATACTACAATAATACTTGAATTATATTCACCAGCAGATTAAAGAATTCCAGGGACGCATTCGAAGTAATTGGCTTGCTTTGAAAGATAATAAAGAAATCGAGATTATAAATAAGCATGGAATCTATGGAAAATTAATAACAATATCTATAATGAGTAAATATTAAATAAACATTTAATTAATAATTTTTGATAGAAGCAGTTGTTTATAATGAATAGTGCCAAAATTATTGTATAATAATTCTTGAATAGTTTAAACTTTAAATGTAAGTCGATCATTTTGCGCGATTTCTGGCTCAAAAACTCAGATCCAGAATATACTGAGTTATCAATCATATTCTATTATGATAACCGATTATCTTATTTCTAAAACACATATTGCACATTAAATTGAAAATACAAAATTTTTAAATCTTATTAAATTTAAGTTAAATCAGTATAATAACTGACATAACAAATATAATTTGGGCATTTGTATAAAGGTAATGTAGAGAATTGATTAAATAATTATTATAATACAACATAATATTATA